GTGCGGATTTTGAAATGCTGCATGCTTCCAGCTCCGTGTTTTTCTTCTTGGGCTTGACCAGAGTCACTTTGCATGATTCCTGGTTCCAAATAATCTTTATTTGCTTCCTACTGGTTGACTGTTCCTGCTAAGCAAGAGATCTGAGCAGCAGATGGGGTAATGCTTGACCGGATTAAGGATATCTTCTTTTCTTCTCTCTCTCATCATACAGATCCAGGATGTAGAGCAGCCTGAAGCCGGAGCTTTCCAGTTATTGTACATACACTGGCCTCGTTATTAGAAACATTAGATTTTTTTTTTTAAATTTTAACAACATCAGTAGCATCAGTTCAACAGAAGTTGTGTAGATTCACCTGAGGCAGTGTCGAGCAGCAAAATGCAGTCCGCCATTGTCAACTTGATGCCGACTCCAGCATGAGTCAGTGTTCAAGGTTACTGCAGAAAATAAAATGTTTAAAGCTTGTCACAAAAATCATTTTGATCTCTGTAGATGGTTTCTCCTTCATAGCTGCACTCTGGGTAAATTCATTCGTAGCTCACCTGCTCCGACTTTGTGAAGACTTAAAGTTAGGCGTGAGGGAGCTTTGAGGGCAAATAATTGGAATCACTGAGCTCTGGAACGCGTTTCGGGTGTCTTCTCCTTTGATGATGATAATGAATATGACTTTGATGTGCAGGTAATTCTTCTAACAAACCATCCAACGGGTCTCTGCTTTAGTAATCGTGGTATTGTCTTTATTTTTTCGCTTGTTACTTGCCACTAATTACTCTGTTACTGTAAAGTTGTCTCAACAGCATTAAACAGAACATGATAATGCCAGGTGCATACCAGTTTTTACCACGAGATGGTGCAACAATGCAAGAGATTAAGAGCATGTTAGTCTCTTAAGGGAAGGCAGAAACATTTCAGTACACCCTCTGGAAGAATTCTGCCCCCTGGTGGTGAAAGTGTTACAAATGTTACCTTTAACACAAACTGGCAGGTTATGCACACTCACAGTTTACAACTCTCCCCTCTCGTCCAGATACGGTCACTTCTGGCTCTGTAAAAGCATACACACAGACGTATATAGTCTGTAGAGGAGGACGGATTGCTCGGAGGGCGTGTTTGCGACGCTCAGCCTGCAGGTCGATGCCCGAGGAGGCGTTCAGTCTCATATAAACACGTGTGAGCAAACACTAAATCGAGGGCCTCTCCTCTCCCTGCGTGAGCTGATCACATGTACATGTGTATGATACTGAGTGACGATAACTTACTGTAAACTACATGTACCGTTCCCCTTCTAACTGTCGAAGCTTGGCGTGGTGAGCGCTGCCCTCTCTGCTTGTAAATGAGACGTTCTGCTTCATTGAAATGCCTTTTTTTCCATCAGATTTTGTTTGTTTGTTTTTAAATCAAAGTGTGCCTAACCGCCGTCCCGCTGTACAGGACATCCCAGACGACCTGTTGCACCCAACAGAGGGTGACGTGTGGCGTATTTGACCGATCTTTTTGTAAAACTCTCTTGTTTGTTTGTTTGTTTGAATCCATTGAGCTCCTGATTGGTTTGGGGTTTTTTTGTCCACTTTTTTTCTTTTGTTGTTGTTGTACAGATGAAAAATTGGACAGTTTGTTAATGATAATAATAAAGTCTGCAAGGTTTCTACTCCACTGTTTGTTTATTTCAAATCCGGCTCAACCAGAATTTACGTTGTGAAATGTAATATCTGTACATGTGGTAATACTTGAGCCCTGCACGAAAATATGTAGTGCTTTTTTTTGTGCATCTATATAAACTTTGAGGAAATGTTTGATTCCAAGTGGGACAGATGTTTGTTTCTACAGTGAGGTATTTGTGTGACATCTGGATGTAAATGAATAG